AGTTGAAGAGGGAGTTATTGGATGAGGCGCACCATACTCGGTACACAGTCGTCCAGGGACTACCAAGATGTACAAATACCTGAAGAGGCGTTTCTGGTGAAGTGGTATGCGGAGAGAGATTGCAGACTATGTGGCTAGATGTTTTACCTGTCAGCAGGTGAAGGCAGAGCATCAGAGACCGGCAGGGACACTGCAGCCTTTACCAATTCCAGAGTGGAAGTCAGCTGAGATGTATGCGAGGATACCTATTCAAGAGACTATTCGACTTCATGGAATTCCAGATGCGATAGCATCAGATTGAGATTTCAGTGTTCATTCCACATTTTTGGAAGGGTTTCCAGGATTCTTTTGGGCAACAGATTTATCGTACTGTAGTGCATTTCATCCATAGATGGATGGTCAGACGGAGAGAGTAAATTAGATGTTGGAAAACAGATGCCGGGCTTGTGTCATTGACTTTCAAGGTAGCAATTCGGAAGACGGAAAAAGGTTACGACGAGATACATTGGACCGTATCAGATTTTGGAGAGCATTGGAACTGTGTCATACAGACTAGATCTTCTAGAATCGATGTCTAGTATACACAATGTATTTCATGTTTCTATGCTTAAGAAACAATTACGTGATGAAGAACAGTAGTGAGTGTTGAACGCATTAGAAATTTAGCTTCAGGATGGTTTGACTACGATTGAAATCCCAGTTTGTATACTTGCTAGAGAAGACGAGAAATTTAGAAACAATATATTTTTTTCCCTTGGAGAAAACTCAGTGGAACCAGAAAGGAGTTGAGATGATCTTCAGGGTCACGAAGATGTTATGCCGCGCGACTTCCTGAACATATTGAGGATGTGCATTGATTTATGTGTACGATTATTTGTGTGGTTATATTTTGATTTAACGCTAGAATGAGGATATTTTCACTTAATTTTTAATATTTCGGAACACATGGTATATATATGGGGGGTTCCTTGTTTGGATTTTTCGCCCGACGTACTAGTTCCATTCGATTAAGGGTTGAGTGAGAATATATTCATCCTGGACTGTTAAATATAAATATCCATATATGCTTATCAAGAGTAAAATTCTAAATGTTTCTGGTTGCGGGTTGAATTAGACCCACTATGTGTTTTTCTAGTATTATTATTTGCTTAAGTATGATTTCTGAATTTCGAGGACGAAATTCTTTTAAGGGGGGAAGAATGTAAAACCCCGAAAATTTGAATACTTTATGATAAATAATAATAAATATGTTATACATTTATAAATAATATATTATGATGTTTGAGTATGCTAGGAACTGATTTAAGATCAATTCAATGTATATATGTATATATGTGAGTTCAAATACACAAATCATGCACAAAGGCCAAGAGTGAGAATCTGGAAATTTTGACTAGTTGAGAGTTTCTATGTTTTTCTCACTGATTCATTAAGAATCTGGAAAGGTGTATAATACAAAAGTTGTAGGTCTCTTCAAGAGCTTTCCAACAAATCTTAGATCACCTTATTCCGAGGTCGTATGGGAAAGTTATAGCCAAAATACCGAAGAGAATGTTCCTAGTCAGACTGAATTTCCAGTTTCGGGTTTCGGGTTTCGGGTTTCGGGTTTGCTGCTATATATATACATGTTATATCACGAAAATCACCTCTTTTCTTCTGTTTTACAAACCCTAGCAGCCCCCCTCTTCTCTCCCAAACCCTAGATCCGTTCTTGGAGGATTTTGGAGGAGTCGACGCGAGATCCATCGGTGTTCAGCGAAGGAGGATCATTCTCACTTGTTTTTGGGAGTTCATCTACACCCAAGGCGAGTAATTTCTCGCCCAACCCCCACCCTTTTTGTTTTCATGTCAAGAACTGAGTTTTTATTGGTTTTTATGGAGCCAAATTCGTATTTTAAAATAGCTAATAGAGTATTGTGGTATAGAATATGGATTTGGGATTTTATCTGCTTTAAAAACTCACCAACGTTTTCTGTTAACAGATCTAGATCTGAAAATACCTAGGAAAGGAGTAAAAACCCTGTTTTTATTATTAACGATGAGTAAATCATGTTTATACATTTATGGAATCTTGGTGGCAAAGTTTTAAAGATTTATTTTCGCGATTTTACTGATTCATGACACCTCTACAAGTTAGATTTTGTTTAACAAAAATTTTGTTTCAGGTTTTAAGCTGACAGAAACTCAGATATGAGTTTCTGTCCGCTTGGCGGTCGACCGGAGCGGTCGACCGCTGAGCTCGTTTTAGGGCTTCGGTCGACCGCCAAGTTTGTTCGGTCGACCGCGGCGTTTGTTCGGTCGACCGTGACGTTTGTTCGGTCGACCACGACATTTATCCGGTCGACCGCGATGTCTGGTCGGTCGACCGAGATGCCTAGCGGTCGACCGCCAGGCTCGTGCCAGAGTTCGGTCGACCGGAGTCGACCGCGACGTTATTTCGGTCGACCGCCAATTATTTCGGTCGACCGCGATGTTCTTCCGGTCGACCGCCAGTTGCATATCAGAGTGCGGTCGACCGGTGCGGTCGACCGCCGTGTTATCTGTTGTATTTTCCCTATTTTGTACATTTTTGAATATTTGTTCAGGTTCGAGTGATTTCCTGGACTATCTGACATTGGTATTTGGTCTTACTATGTACCCAGGCATGATAGAAGACCTGAGGGTACCAATTATGGATATATACACTGTTTTGACTGTGAATTAATATATGTAGATTTCACTATGTATCCCAGTGATATGTTCACCATTTCACAGTACTCGCGTTGGACTAAAATCCACAGTCCTCGTGTTGGACAAGCATTACCTTTTAGTCCTCGTGTTGGACACCCTTCCCACTTAGTCCTCGTGTTGGACATGCATTGCTATTTAATCCTCGTGTTGGATATGCATTACCATCCGGTCCATGCGTTGGACAACGGTCACATCCGGTCCATGCGTTGGACAACGGTTATTTTCAGTTCATGAGTTGGACGTTTACTTCATGCAGTCTATGGGTTGGACGTTTAATTTATATAGTCTATGTTTTGGACACTTAATCGTTTTCTGACATGTCACTCATGTGAGTTTGACATGACACTTATGTAGATTTTGACATGATATTCATGTAAGTAATAACATGATACTCATGTGGGCTATGTCACAACACTGTTTTCATGCTCTGGTGTTCGTCGTATTTCTTTTATTATTGTTACTGCACTAGAACCTTAGGTTTGGTATTTAGGAGTTTACAATTTGAGATGTAAGGTATATACATGAGGGTTTCCTTGTTTGGATTATTTCGCTCGACGTACCTATGCTCGTGTTGTAAATTTCTAAATACTAAAACTCCCTTTAGTAAGAATCAATGATTTTTTTTGATCTCTTATATATTAACTGTATTTTTCTTATACAACGAGCCATGTTCCCTTGGGGTTGGTTGTGATGTTACTCGCTAGCGCTTTGACGCTCGTTGTCCCTCCCCCTTTCAGGTAACGAGCCAGGAGCCCGGAGAGTCGTAGACTGATGGCGATGCATTTTAGCTTCAGCCGTCTCTTTAGTTATATTTTCTTTTGGAGTTCCACAGTAGATTTTTATTTAGACATTTGAGAGTCTTGTTCTAGAAGTTATAAAGGCTGTGTGCCTTATTTCCTTTTTGTCAGATATTTGTGTTTGAGACTTGTTGAGCATTCCAGTTTATCTACTCAGATCTTGGCTATGTATTTTTTTGTATGTGGGATGATGAGATATTTATGTGACTGTTATCATTCCATTAGTATATCATGTATTATCTTTTACCTGTTTTGTACATACACCAGTTGTTGACTCTACTAGATAGATGTTAATTGTGATGGTGAAACATGTTATTGCACGGTGTGGTGCATGGCAGGTTTGACATTCTTGGTTTCACCTTGGACTGCAGCCTTGTGTGAACCCAGGGGCGTCACACTTCCCCTAAGTTTTAATACATTTAATTTAATTATTGTATATTTAAAATTAGAAATTATATCTAGTCCTCTACACCTAAATGATGATCCAAGTTTTAATACATTTGATTTAGAATTCATATCTATTCTTTTATACTTAGAGAAGGATCTAAGTTTTAATACATTTGATTTCCTTTATTGTTTATGGTACGGTAAAATACTGTATTATAAACAATAACTTTAAAAAATAAAGTGGGAGATTTGATTACTGTTCACGGTACAGTAATTTGCTGCAACAGATGGGCTGGGGGTCGATTTATTGTTTACAACACAGTATCTATTGTAGCATTTACTATAATATGAACAGTGATTTTTTAGATCTACCGTTAACCATTCGGCGAGGTGAGATTTCTTGTGAAAATATACAATTTATTTATCTATAAAGAACATGTTGTTTTACTTATCCTCGTAAATTTGATGATATAGAGATCCCACGGTTACCCTGTGACAACTCAAGGGTATTTGTGAAAGCACCCCTCACATCTTAGTATTTACAAAGCTATCTCTTAAAAATCAACAAATCAACAATTCTAAAAATTTGATAATTTTGTTGATGATTTTTATATTGCAATTACATGTTAGCTTATTAAAGTTGATGATTAATTACTTTGGGAGTTTTTCCCCCTAAAATTAATGATTTGAGAGATAATTTTGCAAACACTCAGACTAGACCATTTATTTGCAAATATCCATGATATAAGTGGTGCATATGCAAATAACGCTTATATATATATAACCATAGAACTTTATCCTATTCATAATATATTCCAATGTTAATATATTAATATATTCTTCTTACACCTCTGCTGATCTTTATCGCCATCTTTCTCCTCCTCCCTTCGCCTTTTTAGCCGTTGCAAAAGGAACATTTCCACCAAAATCACTCAACAAACCAAGCTCCATCCCCCTTTCATTCTCCCCGTCCATCGCTCCGAATCTCAACAGAGGGCCTTTTTCCATTGCATGACGAACGCTTGGAAGCTCCTGTACGTCTGGAAATCTCGCTCTGGCCGGAGCTCCGACGCAGC